GGGACTGAACATCTCTGCTGGGAAGAGAGACTGAGAGACCTGGGGCTGTTCAGCCTTGAAAGGAGACAGCTGAGAGGGGACCTTATTAATGTATATAAATACGTGAGGGGTGGGGGTCAAGTGGAAGGGGGCAATCTCTTCTCAGTGGTGCCCAGCAATAGAACAAGGAATAACGGGTTTAAGTTAGAACATGGGAAGTTCCACCTCAACGTGAGGAGAAACTTGTTGGCTGTGAGGGTGCCGGAGCCCTGGCCCAGGGTGCCCAGAGAGGGTGTGGAGTCTCCTGCTCTGGAGACTTTCCAACTCGCCTGGACACGTTCCTGTGTGGCTGCCCTGGGTGACCCTGCTCTGGCAGGGGGCTGGACTGGGTGATATTTTGAGGTCCCTTCCAACCCCCAACATTCTATAATTCTATGATTTTAAGTTTTCAGAGAGAGCTGCAGACACAGAAGGAGACTTTTTGCTTTTCCCCCAAAAGAAAGTTAAGAGTCTCAAGACAATGAAAATTGACTTACCCATATGAACAGAATAAAAGATATTCATTTTGAATTCCAAAATGAGTAGCATGGCAGGTTTTACATAATGTGAAATATCAGAAGCCTAAAACATCAAGTCTCATGAACTGTATCACTTATCAGAATTTTGCTACTCTATGGAAGGTGCTACAGCTGTAACCTCCTCCAGGTGAACTACATTTTATTTACACCTGTGGCTTCCTTATTGCCCAATTATTGTAATTTACATACCTTTGCAAAGTCCTAAATATTTTGTGGCAGGGCAATGACTCATCACATTTTTATTATTTGAGAAAAGAAAAATTCGATCAAGTTCACTGCCGTTGAATGAGCAATTCAAGTACACACGTAACCCCAACAAAATGTGAAGCTAACACTTCCCAAATCCATATGTCAGGCACTTGTAGCTCTGACAGACAGGCTCCATCACATTTAACTGCAGCAGCTTAGGAGTCACCACATGCTTGCTGTGTCTACTCATGAGAAGCTGCTATCCACGGAGCAGGACAGAAGATCTGCGGCAGAACCGGAGTTGCACCCACTCCTTTCCCACCGCGCTTCAGTCTTCTGCATTAGTTAACAAGGTGTGTTCAAGCCTCAGCCACTTCATAGAATTACAGAATGGCCCAGGTTGTAAGGGGGTTGGATTAGGTGACCTCTAAGGTCCCTCCCATGGGCAGGGATGCCCTTACCCAGCCCAGGTTGCTCAAGGCTTCATCCAACCTGGCCTTGAACATCTCCAGGGAGGGGGCAGCCACAGCCTCTCTGGGCAATCTAGTCCAGAGTCTGGCCACCCTCACACTCAACAGTTTCTTCCCAAGATCCAGCCTAAACCCCTTCTCCTTCCATTTAAACCCATTTCCCTTGTCCTGTCCCTGGACACTCTTGTCCAAAGTCCCTCCCCAGCCTCCCTGTAGGTCCCTTCAGGCACTGCAGGCAGGGATAAGGTCCCCCCGGAGTCTGCTCTTCTCCAGCTGACCACCCCCAGCTCCCTCAGCCTGTCCTCGCAGCAGAGCTGCTCCAGCCCCTGGGTCAGCTTTGTGGCCTCCTCTGAACACGCTCCAACAGATCCACGTCCCTCTTATGGTGGGGGCACCAGAACTGGAGGCAGCTCTTCGTTTTAGAGTGCTAAGTATCTGGACAGATCCACTCCCACCAGCTGCCTAAGCCACCAGTGGAAGAGTTAACTGGAGGAATTTTTTGAACATTTGCTGTGGTAACAGCAGCACAGTGAGATGTTATGGCTAAAATCTCCTACTCCCAGAAATCCTAGACCGAACTGCCAGTCTGCAAAGGACAGAAGCCAACCACTAAAAAAAAAATTACTATCACCTCACTGTGCCTCATTCATACCGTACAATTTCACATATAAAGAGAGTGAGTGCAAGGAGGGCGACGGCGCTGGGGAAGGGCCTGGAGGATAAATGTTATGAAAAGCGACTGAAGGAGCTGGGGCTGATGAGTTTGAAGAAGAGGAGGCTGAGAAGGGATCTCATCACTCTCTACAATGACCTGAAAGGACGCTGTGGAGAGGTTGGGGCTGGTCTCTTCTCACAGGTAATTAGTGATAGAACAAGAGGGAATGGCTGCAAACTGCAAAGGAGGGTTACACTGGGCATTAGGAATATTTTTTCCACAGCAAGAGTGGTCAGAGCTTGGCACAGGCTGCCCGGGGAGGGGGTTGAGTCCCCACCCTTGGAGGTGTTTAAAGGCCGTTGAGATGTGGAGTTGGGGGAGATGGTTTAGGGGTGAGCTCTGTAGAGTAGGGTTCGTGGCTGGACTCCATGATCCCAAGGGTCTTTTCCAACCTGAAGGATTGTATGATATCCATAGGGCACTATACAGCGATTTCTTGGGGATCTCGCATGGGCCACTCGCCTCCCAACGATGGCAACTACACAGCTCATGGTTAAGCAGAAGAGCTCCTCAATTCAACAGAAAGAGCCATTGGGTAAATCTGCGAGGGTACAGTGAGCCATAACGGAACAGTTCAATTGGCCAGATGTACGTCATATTAAAAATAAAGATGTGTTTACGAGTTATGGTACTCACTAAAAACACAGGGACATTAATATTGCCAGACCCTAAGTGACTGTAGGGCCCAACTTTACTAAATCCCATTATAAATGAAAATGTAGTTTTCTCTATACCTCTTTGTTACCCCAGGAAGGTATAATTTTCCAAAACTAGCTGAACAGTTTGAAAAATTCGTTTTTATTGTCCCTAGGCGAGCCTGACCTCATGCTGTCAACTTGTTTATGGAGCCATTAGTACAATAATATTATACTGAACGGAATTATTTGGTTTTAATTATTTGGTTTAAATGCCAGCATCTTCCTAGTTTCATGTTACAGACTGATAGACATGAGATCTCCCCAAACCACATTCTTCGGCAGCACTAACTTACCACCCTACTATATTTTCAGCTCCCGACTAACATCGTATTTCCACATCTCCCTGTTTTCAAATCAGCTAGCACCTCCTGTCTCAATTTTCTTTTCTCTAAAAGTCTTCTGTCAGGTCATTTTTGAAACAAGGTGACCCAAAGGAGACACGGACACAGCCCGTGTCGACAGCCAACAAGACAAACCAGTATAAAATAATATGGCCTAGATTTTATGCATATGGGGTCGCAGCGCCGAGTGACCTGAGCAGAACACGTACAGGGAATGACAGGAGATGGGCTTAGGCAATTTGTCAAAGCAATCTCATAACCCCCTCACCAAGGAATATGGCAAATATGTTGAGAGACAGCAACACACACCCGGAAGCGACTCCCTATTGTCGGGGCACTAAGGGATTGATGCAGAGTGACTGTTGACACCTCAGCGAGGTCGCTAATGACAATTCAGGCATTTTAGCAGCAATAATGTCCTTTGTCTGGTCAGAGTGTCGGTGTGTGTGTAATTTCCATATTTATTTTAAAGCCTCGAGAGGAGGTAAAAAGCCCGAAGTGTATTATGGGCAGGCAGGGAAAAGTGCATTGAATGCAATTAACAGGATTTAGTAGCGTAACTGTCAATGCACTGCCAGATTTTCAAAGTATCCCTACCGAAATCTTCCTCCATAAATGTGGCCCTCAAACAGGCACGGTGCAGAATATAATTATTTTGAAGTCAACAATAATAACAACTCTGGAGACACCCGCAGGTTCATGCAGCAGCACCCCAAGCTAACACAACGTGGCCTCTCCTGTGACGCTTTGTCCTCCACAACCCAAGACGCTTATTTCTAAACATGAAGGCATGAGGCACGCCCTCATAGGCCACTAATTTGGGATAAGGCAATGGCAATTCCTGTATTCAAGCCCCTTTTTGTAAACTTGTTAAGCACAGATATCTATAAAACTTTAGGAGACCTTAGGTTAGACTTTAAAAACAAATCCAGTTAAATTAACGCTGAAGTCAGTTGCAACTAGGTGAGACTCATGCGTAGTTTTCAAAAGCGTCTCCTACCAGTGATGAGGAACTACTAGGAACCTACTACTGCCCTTAAACAGGTTTTACTGTCTTCGTACTGGTTTATATTCATAAGAAAATATCTTTCAGCCAAAAATGTTCTGTCTAGTTAGGCCTATCCTACCTCTGCTACCCTACAGGACTGCATCCATGTCGCAAGTTTTAGGAAACTTAAGAGCCCATCCTATCCCAGAGCATGCAGGTCTTCCCTTTGGGATGCCACTGGTGAAAATAACATTCTGCCATGATATGGAGCTCCTTAGCAGGGCTAGTGTCACCTTCAATAAACGAGCCTTTCCGGTTTCACACCGACTCTACCAGCAAGACTGATACAAATGACAAGGACAATGCAGCCCTGACAGAATGGGCCTCACATTCTCACAGAATCATGGAATGGTTTGGGTTGGAAGGGACCTTAAAGATCATCTTGTGCCATGGGCAGGGACACTTCCCATCAGCCCAGGTCGCTCCAAGCCCCATCCAGCCTGGCCTTAAACACTCCCAGGGATGGGGCTTCCACCCCCTCTCTGGGCAACCTGTGCCAGGGTCTCACCACCTTCACAGAAAAGAATTTCTTCCTAACATCCAAATATACTCTCTTTCAGTCTGAAATTGTCACCCTTTGTCCCATCACTGCACCCCCTGATCAAGAGTCCCTCCCTAGCTTTCCTGTAGCCCCTTCAGGTACTGGAAGGTGCTCTAAGACCTCCCCAGAGCCTTTGCTTCTCCAAGCTGAACAATCCCAACTCTCTCAACCTGCTGCACTCTCTGCTCACTCTTCTGCATGTGCTTAGACTGGGTACACAACATCTAGTTCAGCACGGCCAAGACTTGCCCCTGGCAGACTTACAGAGGCTACAGGACTTCCACGAGGGAAAAAAGACTTCAGGAAGCTCTAAGGAGTTGATCCAAGAGCCCAGTGCCTGTTGGGTGTATGAAGAGAGCACCCAGAGATGCATGAGGGACATCAGTACTCCGTGGGAGCTAGCTGCTTTTGATTCAGAACGAAAAAAGAAATAAAAATCTTGATTTAAAAATTTAGGAGCCATCAATAATACTTTTATCCACAACATAAAAGGTGGCGGCACAAATCAATGAAAATTCATGAGAAACCTTACTAGGTAAGGAAGCAAAAGGCAGTCAAATTTAAAAAATAAAAAGAATGAAACCAGTGGTCTCTTCAGACTCTGTGGCTGCTACCAGACCCATAAATTTCTGGCCAGCTTCTAGAAATTATATATCTCTTGTACAACAAGAGGGTTCTACATAACTATTACATGGGGTCTCAAAAGGAATTACAGTAGAACCACCCCATACAGATTATCTGCCTCGCCCTCTAGTGCAGGAAAATACCACCCTTTTCACATGAAAAAAACAAGAGTCGATCTCTGAGTGTCACCGCACAGCGACAAAGAACTGCGTATAACCAGTTCTGGGCAAAGAAACAGTCCCCAGGGAACCTGGCCAGCAGGAAGCTCAGCCCACAGCTCACACCTTGCAGGTCTCTGTCACCCTATTCCTCACTTTATTTGTCAGAGGTGACATGTTTTTTATGGGCACCATTTAAAGTACGGTAGCTAAACACAAGCGCTGAGCTCAGGGCTTGAGACTGAGAGGCATCCAAGTGCGACCAGTTTTAAGGTGAAGCGAAAAACATTTTACCCGCTGATTCCTGAGGTCAGGTAAGCACTGGGGTCGCCAGCCCCAGGAAGAGCTGAGCAGTTCTGGGCGCTGCATTGTGCTCAAGTTTGAGGTCTTACAGAGCTCTCTCAAAACAGATTTAGATTTACCTTTTTCTTGAGAGCAGAAAATTCACTTAGTTTAGATTTAAAACCATAGCTAATTTAAGGGGCGGTATAGCTTTCCATAGTATAATTTATTCTTTTCAATATATATGAATTCACTCGCTTGCTGTAAACTTTACAGGTGACTGAGATTTAGAATCGGTTCTAATTACTCTTTTATTAACACAAATACAAGACACTTTCCACCGCTCTAGAATCTTAAGGCTCACCAACACATTCAACTTTTTTGTACCTTCCTCAACCCTCTGGGGAGGTTCATGTCATTAAAATACGATCTGATCCCATTTACCAACTTCAACAGACAACCAGCAGCCACACAGCCTCTCAGGACTGATTGATAAAACAAGTACGAGGCACGTGCTATGCGCCCTCTTGGCATCAGAAATTATTCTGCCTTCTGACTCACCCAAAAAAGTTGTTGCCTTTTCACCAAATTATCAGCACGGTAACTCTATGCATTCTTCGAAAAGTAATTGTTTCCAGATAAACGATAACGACAGGAATTAAAAAAAAAAATAAAAGTCTTTAACAAGCTAAAGTTTTCCTTGAAAGTGATTTTCCACTACAAATATTACATAAAATGAAGACGGATTTTTGTTTTCTTTTTTTTCCCCCCCCACCCTTCGGACAGCAAACATTACAACGTGCAGTATCACCAATTAATACTTCAGGTAGAAGTGACAGCTAGCCCTTAGGGAGTCCCATTTTCCATAGAACGGTTCTAGTGAATGAACGGCAGAAACACAGGTTCTCCATTGGCTTCCACATCTTGCTATTAATGCAAATGGGGCTGCAAACCAATTAGAATCTTGGCCATCTATTTACTGATATAATTAGTTCCATACATGATTTCAAAGCTTTGCACCTGCATCAGCTTAACTGAACTCTGCTACACTCGAAATAAATAAGTTGAATTTTCTCTTTCCAAGTCCTATTACGTAGCAACTTGAAAATTTCTTTGGCATCGGCGCCGGCGTAAAGCCGTGATTCAGTGCAACACGAGAACACAGTATTTGTTTTGGCACCAAGTGTTCTTTACACCACACACAGCAGCAATCTGAGAGCGCGTTACAGTTCAATCTGTTGTAAAGCTGCTTTAAAAGAGCTAGGTTAGGTTAAAAACCAAAATAAAATTGAGTACTTAACATAACGCACCTCTTGCTAGTTAAATAGTGCTGGCTCCTGCTGCTTCAAAATCTGCATTTCGAACACCTGCTTAACCGAAAGATTCTCTTCGAGGGCCATGAACAGAAGGAAGCGTCTCTCTTTGCCACATCCTTAGCTGAGAAACAATGACCACATGTCTTAAATTCCCAAAGCCTTTCAGGTGCTCGAGGCACAGGCATTTCTGGAAATTTTACCACTTCAGATCTCTGCTACTGCAAAAATATTCTTATCATGCTTTCAAATGGCAATTAATACAAAATTACATCCTCCCCCAGATTTCTTTTTGCAGCAATCAAGGTTCGGTGGTCGAAATATCCTTACCTAGGCTGGTTTTCCTGGGAAACATTTTCCCCTCTCTGGTAACCGTTGTCGGCCACTTGGGTTGTGGAGCGCTTGACAATCTGCTTGAGTTCTTGTTCTAAGCGATCCTGGATGGCTTTCACCGTCTCCGGGATTTTTTTCAGCTTGGCCAGCCCTTTGATGAGGATGCCCATGAACACAGCGCTGTTCTCCTCTGGATCCAGTTCCGTATCTTCTTTAATTTCCAGAAGGTTTGTCTCTCGCACTGGAATACATTTTAAAAAAGGCATAATCCAAGATTTAAACTATTAAAACCAACCCTTGGCACCAAGCAGAAGAACCCCTTTGCCTTCGCAGAACTCCCACCACACAAAATATAAGAATAAACAATATCAAACACAAACAATAAACACAAAACCCAGCAATACTCAGATTCCAGGGGGAAGCAGTAGATACTTTGGTTTGCTTGGGGGATTCCCTATACATAAATACAACAGCCCACACATCTGAGCCATTTAGAAATAGAGGTCATGGTGTAAGTTACATATTAGTTACGAATTAATTTGGTTTAACGACCGAGAAACCCCAGATTTCCAGTCCAGCTGTTTTTCCTTGCTGTATTCTTCACATGAGATGAATTTTCATTATAAACAGTATCAAGCTTAACAAACTTCTGATGAATTTGGCAAAGGCCAAACACCACTAAAGTGAATGATTGTTTGCTATTACCCTATTCTGCTTTATTACATCTGTCAAGGGGCTGAGGGAGTTAGAAGCCAAGGCTTCTAGAAAGGAAAAGCCAGAAGAATTGGAGAAGACATTGTGGATACAGTCCTCCTGAAGTGACAGGGATCGTGCAGGGAGAAATTCTGTTGCTAAGCGACAAGGAAGAGAAAAGCAAGAGGTACTGTGCTTGTTTTAAGAACGTTCATTAAACAACATTTCATAAGTTACAGGTAACACCCAGCGACAACAAAAGCATATCTCTGTTAAAGACTGGGTGAAACATTTAATAAATAGATTCAAACAGTTCTGCAAAGTGTCTTCAAGGCAAACTCAACTAAAGCCTCTTGGAAGATCTACAGCCACGCGGCTCGCTAACAGCCGGAGCAGCAGCACGTGCACAAATGGCACCAAGGCGCAGGGCTGAAGCTGGGCCATCCACCAAACCGTGCCCTTGCCCAGAACCGAAACCTGACAGCTCTTTCAGCTCACTGGTACCAACTCCGAGAAGGGCTGGTGGATGGCAGATGACTCCCGCGGTTTCAACTGCTCAACAGATTTTCTTACTCAAATCAAAACTTATCCAAGAATCTGAATAAAATGTCAGGAAGATCCACCAGAAGGATTTAAATGACACGGCAGAAACGAAAAATGGCAGCAGTACGCAGCCCTGGGGCTGTCGAAAGCTACGGGCAC